ATAGATAGATAGATAGATAGATAGATAGATAGATAGATAGATAGATATTTATCTAACTTTTTATTGATGTATTTATTGACAGTGTAAAATATAAAAAGAACTGCGGGACACTTGGACTCCTCTCACAGGTTGACAGTTATTGCTCAGGATGACTTACTGTCACGGTTTATTTCTGTATGAATGATGGCTGCAGCTCTTTCCATTCAATGTCTCCTCCTGTGTGAAGGACGTTGAGATGTTCAACCTTCGCACCAGAGGCATGTGGACCGGACATCAGAGTTTTTATAGCGTCATAGTCAGAATAAGTGCTGAGGGTGCAAGGTTCAATGGTCAGACATGGGCATCATGTCAGTCAGACTGTGGATGACATAGACTTCATGAAAAAAGTATCATCTAAGTTGGCGTTGTAAATCAATATGTGATGTTATATGTAACCACAAATAATTTAGAAGAGGGGGAAAAAATGAGTTCTTAACATCCAGGCAGTGAATTTTCATTCAACCTTTATTTATACAGGTTAGTCTCATAGAGTCACGAGGACTCACTTCCATGACCGTGCTTCACAATCCTCTCAGAATTTTACATTTTGTCCCATTGCAGTGTCCGAACATTACTTGGAAACAGACAAAAACTTGTTTTACTTCATTTTAACTAGTCATCAACCTGTTGAAATGTCTAACTGATCTGTTCACTCCACCGTGTCTAGACATTGCTGTATTTCCCCCCTTTTTGTAGCAGCTGAACGATCTCCAGCCACCGATCTGCGGTGGTCATGCCACAAAATTGTTGACGCCAACAACTTGCAAACTGCAGTGACTGCATTGTGGCAACTTTGAATACTAATGAATAAACTGGCAGCGAGTCAGTTTTCTTTGGGTTACAGATCAGGAACATTTCCTTGATCTACACACTTTTAATGCAGTCGGGTCTGCAGGAGGATTCACAGGTCACAGCGAACTCCTTTATTTTCTTTCCTGTGTCCTCCTGACTCCTTCATTATCTCACAATGTTCAGCATCATCCGCTGACACAAGGGAATAATTACAAGTAAGAGTCACATAACAAAGTGAAGTCAGAATTTACACACAAAAAGTAAGTCCTAACACAATAGGATTGCTCACACAGGAAAATCTTCATGGCGAAATCTGAGACTTTTGAATATTTAACACATTTTATGTAAGAATGATAATAGATTCACAAAATATTCACAAGTGATGATTTTTCCCATGTTTGCACTGTTGACATTTTGACAAGTTGTCCTTTTGACAGGTGACACTTCACGCTGCTTTACAGTCACCAAAATGACATTTAGAGAAGTCCAACTTGAGGGAAACCATTGACAATTTTTTTTCTTTGATGTGTTTCCTTATAAATATAACATGGTTTTAAAATAGATACACTATTTCGATTCACTCATTGGTGTTCAGTCAGTCCATAGAAGTGTGGTTAAGAAAAGTGACATATTTATTTGAATAACAATAATAATTTAAACATAATTGAATCGCAAACTCTTCTAGTTCTTTGAACAACAAATTAACAACTTATTACAGAATAACTAATAAAATATATAATTACTTTCTGCAAGGATTTGGACTTTGCACAAAAGCAAATGGTTAAATATTTGAGGAGTTTTACTTATGAAAACATTTTCTTTTCTCTCCTTGATAAATTTTATATTTTTCTCCATCTTCTACCGCTTATCTATCTACTGCTATGTATTCATTCATACCCATTTACTCACTACAGACTCATGTTCGGGCTGCTATTTAATACACCGTATTATTTTACATTTGTAGCCCAGCTTGAACTGTGCTATATAGTACAAACTAAGTATTAAACTAATTTTATAGCAATATCATTTAAGTTTCAAAACAATGTTTAAATAATAAAAGTGGAAAAAATATGAAAGATAAAAATTCTTTTGTCATTTAAAAATGTATCATTTTAAAACCAGTCCATATTTGGTAAAAAAAAAAAAAAAAAAATCTAGTTTATGCTGAAACAGACATTTGTCATTTTTACTATGTTCCTTGAAGGTCACATAAGTTTGTTTGAGGAGTGCTGCACATGGTGCCACATGGCAGATTCACAACCTACTCTTTGAGTTGTGCTAAGTGTCAGTCTTGTTCAGTTTTGTTTTGTATTGGATTAAGCATTTTATTTTGCCTAATCAGATGGGAGTGGACGGGTTTAATGGTACGCTGCATGAAACGTGGGTCAGTGGGAAAACCAGACAAGGCAGAGCGCACAGCGACGCAGATGTGGGATAATAACAGAGTAAAGCTATCCATTACGATGGTTAATGCAGAGTTGCCATCTGTATTTCCAAGGCTGAGACCGACCACCCTACGCAGAAAGTTCATTCCTTTCATTATTTTTTCAAACAACAAATCAAATATAAAAGTTTCAGGCAAAAATATTAAATAATTTGTAGTACTTTGAAAATAGTAATGACTTTCATCTACTGCCACACCAAATTTGCACTCAATATCTGTAAATATTGCCATACTTATGTTTACTAATGACAGTTAGCTATGGTGGCCATCTTAAATTAGGGTGACTCCAAAAGTTAAATAAATTGTAGATGCCCATACATGAATTTATTCTAAGTAATTTCTTCAAATCTGTCTGCTGGTTCATGAGATATTTTTCTAACGCTACAGACAAAGTAACAAAAACACTTTTGCTACTTCACCTTCATCAACAAGAAGAACCTTCAGCTTGTTGTTTAAGCTCTTGTAAGTTATCCAGTGAGTCTGTAATGCTGATTAGTTGCTTCCTTGTAGTTTCTCTGTCGTCACTCACACACAGCGCTGATAACATCAACAGAAAAATCCTGCTTCAGTTAAATATGATTATCAGAAACCAAGGAAGATGCTTGTCAACACTTCCACTGCCTACAATACACACTGTTCATTTATTCAACCTTTATTTGTGCAGGTTAGTCTCATTGAGCCTCGAGGACTCATTTACAAGAGAGACTTGTTTTATTATAGAGACTGTGAATTATCCAACAATTATAAAGCTATTAAGCAAAAAAAAGAGCTGTAAATTATTTAATGTGTAGATATTCCAACTTGTTTTTCAACAAGAAATAAACATTTGAGTGCCAAAATAACTGTTCGTTAAAGATTAAAAAAGAAAAAAAAAAAATCATGAAATAGTAAAACAAATCGGCACTTTTTTTCCAAACCTACTGTTTGTTTAGTGTCCTTAAAGTGAAAATTTGCACGCCAAATTTCTGACGTGTTGCCAAATGCATTTGTTTATCTATGAAAACAGCCAAAGTGACAAAAAAGACATGAAACTATCATAGATCAGTCATGTAAATAAATATTCTACAGGATTTCTGGTGGATTCAGCCAAGTGCTTTGTTTACACTGAGCGCAGACCCTCATTTCAGGACTGTATATCAATAAATCATAAAACTACAGGCGTAAATGCTTTCAAACTGCACATTTTGATGTCGTACAGGATAACCTTTTGTAACCTGCTTAACCTGACAAACTTTTAATCTCTGGATGATGTATTAAACATTTTTGCCATTTGTGCATGTTACATGGCTGTGGCGTCAGTAAAGAAAGTGAAAATCAATTCTCATTAGAGGCAGCAGAGCTCTGCTGCATGTAGGAGCAGTTCTTTCATCATGCATTGTGAAAGAAACTAATGGCTTCTTCTGGACCACTGTGGCTGAAGGCCTGATTCTTTATCTTCTAAATGAGCACCCTTGCAAAGCTCCGTGCACATATCAGGATTTGTGCTCACTCTTCTTAGTTTTTATTTGCTGAATGAAAACAATTATCAAATTGCAACTTCTTTTGAGGAGCACAAACAGACTTCTGAAGGTCTACGTGACGTTTAGCTCACCTGCTCCAGTTTTTTGTCTTTGCGTCGCAGGAGGAGGGTGGCGGAGTAGCCCTGCTGCTGGACAGAACTGAAGCTGCTGCTTTTCACTTGGGACACACAGGCCAGTAGAGCTGGGGCAGCTTCATCCTGTCCCTCCATCCGTGGATCACCTGACAGCTCCATTGGAGACCTGTGGACTGATGTTGTCTGCGAGGATGAAGACACTGATGTATACATAAACACAGACGCTGTCACGCCTCCGTCTACTCTCGTTTCTTTTTCATCTCTCTTTCAGAAGCTGAATCAGCTGCTGTTGCTCTCTTTCTGTCCGAGCTACAGCACAAACCTTGGCTGTTTGTGTTCACTCTCCGACACACATGCAGGGGAGGGTGTGTGTCTGTGCATGTGTGTGTATGTGCAGCTGACAGTCTCCCTAGTGGGCGGGGAAAGACGATGGATGGATGGAAGAGCAACAAGAGCTGGTGCCTGGCTGTAGAGAAGCAGACACTGAAGCTGAATAATTTGATTGATAAAATTGTGAAATGAGTTACCAACGTGAATTTATGCTCTCTGTCTTGCTAACTCAGGAAATAAGGTTCCACTTCTTTGCTCCTCAACATGGAGTCCAATAAGAGAGGAGCGCAGAAAGCCTCAAGGTGCTGCAGGAGTTGTGTGAAAAGGGCACACACACAAACAAATGGCTGTGAAACTTTATTGCTTTTACATTTTATGTTGAGCACACAAAAAGTGCTTATGCAAGAAAAATAAGCGCTGCACTGATTTACTTCAAACCACACATTATCCTCTCCTATGTAGTTTCAGTGATTTTTATTCTGACCACATATGCTGTTATTGGATCATAGTTTTTAACTAATGAGAAATGCATGATCTTGCTTTTAGATGATCAAATTTACTATAATAAAAAAAAAATCAGATTTAAGAATTACTCAAACAATGTCCTTTTAAAAACGATTGGAACACAGTGTACAGTAGTTCCTCGCTACTTTACGGTTTGCTTATCGCTGACTCGCTCTATCGCGGTTTTTCAAAATAAGACTGGACACGACACATAATGACTGATTGATGGATGAGCCACACGATCGGCATGGAATTTTTATTTAAAATAATTTTTTTTAAAGTATTTAACACCTGCTGCAGCTGTGTGCAATCCACAAAGCTGGAGAAAAAGCTTCCTCCTGCGCCTCTGTGCAGCCCACACTGCAGGATAAACTCCCTGCTGCAGCTGATCAGCTGTTCTCCATGCAGAACGTGCGAAGTGGGCGTGGCCAAGAGCACTTGCAGATGGCTGAGAGCAGAGGAGGCAGGGAGCTGAAATCA